GAGCGATTGCTGAGAGCAGCACAGCAGGGATTTCTGTTAACAGGAGCTGTCTTCATGTATTAGTTTATACACCCTCTGTATAAAGTTGGAGCCCAGGTTGAAATGTTCCTTGTTGTAGTTGATTTCTGTTGTAGAACTGAAGATACAACACACTGAAATTGCCTTTTTTGAATTAGCCTTTCCTTGTTTGCACCTGCTGATGCACGAGAAAAGCCACATGCAGCCGTGATATTTTCATGAAGGTTCAAGGAGACCTTGCTACTACTGCTGCTTTCAGTACTCCTCCAAAATCCTTCCTGTCAGCTCCCCCCCGTTCTCCATCTTTCTCCTTTTTTCATTTTCTGCTGTAGCCCTTTAGAAATGTCAAGCTCCAGACAAACATGTAATGGAGGTCAACCTCAGAGGAGAGAAAGTGTTTGTGGGGTCGAACACTGTGTCAGATATTGGTTTTCTTTGCCTTTTGGCAGTCGGACCATGCAATTTGTGTTCCTGCTTTGATAGAGAGCAGTACAAACCTGGAGATGTCTGGAAAACACTGTCAGCAATCTCAAGGAGGTTTGATAAGAAATGAAACAGCCATCGTCCAAAAGGGTGGTTGATGTGTTTCTTTGTGTGTGTGTGTGTGTGTGTGTCGAATAGACTATAATGTAATGTGTCTCAAGGGATGGAAATGTTGGTCTGCAGGTTAATTAATCACTTTTTTCTGAAATATCCCTTAAATACACATGCACGAGCCCCAGAGAGCATTTCTTGCTGCCATTGGTAAACCACTGTTTTCTGTATGACTTTGACAATTTATGTTTTTATAGCAAGATAGATTGCTGTAAATAGTTGTCACAGAACACGGAGTGTTTAGGTAACAGGACCCCAAAAGCAGATTCAGCATACCGCAGCTCAGAACTATGTACAAGTTTTATTTAACTGAGGAATCTTTTAACAAAGCTAAGAAAACGAAAAACTAAGGCTCATGCCATGGGGGGAAACGAGGAGCGTGGAGCCCAGGAGCGCCGTAATCGGGACAGTGGGGAAACTGCAACAGAAAGGGAAGACACAGTTAACAGCACGCAGGTTGCCAAGAAATGAACAGCTAGACTTCATAAGTTGCCGAGGCTTACAGGAAGAGCAGGACCGTGGAGCTTGGAGGGGAGAGGTGCCCGTGAAGGGAATCCTAGGGAAGGTGGCAGTCAGGCAGGAGGACAGGCACACCACAGGCTTCCACGCCGAATGCTGGTCACACTGGGAGGAGACTTATGGACTGGCAAGGAGAAGCCATCAGAGCTGGCTGAAGTAGTCATCCGGTGATTGCCTCAGATGAGACGCAGGTGGTTTGGAGGCGGCCCAGCCCGAGGGTGTGGCCACCGCAGCCTCCCACGGCTCCCTGGATGCCGAGCCACGGGCCGGGACAATTGCGGCTCATAAATGAAATATTATCATTGTAGAAGTCGCTCATCTTTTGTAGCCGCCCAATAATTAGGTCAAAATGTCTATTTGTTCAACAGCTCATGACCAAATCAATGAAAAACCGAATGAAGTTCCCATTAGTTTAGTGTTTAGAAACAATATTGGGAAAGATATTGATCCCTTTTGAAGCAAATGTAGGTGCTCTAAACAAGTCTAAACATGTCTGTGATGTTGCATCTCCAATGAACCTAATCAAGATGCCTTTTTATTAGGTTAATTTCACACCGGGAGGTTTTCAGAAACAGTGTTTCTATCGCTTTATTGGTCTTTTATTTTGGAAATTGACAGGATTGTCTGCTATTCCTACATCTGACTTCCTCCCCTCTTTATCTGCTCTGTGCAGCTTGGTCGATTTTGCATTCAAATAGACCATTTTAAGTGAAGAGTCCCCTCTGGAACACTTCTGAAATGTGCTGTAGCTGTGGAACTGGCAGCACTGGTTTGAATGGGTGGATTCAAACCAGTGCTGCCAGTTCATCTCCAATCATCTCCAAACAGAGACCTGCCTGGATTCAGGGGTCACTACTTCATAAAGCAAATTAATCAGGTTAAAGATATCAATGTGAGCAAGTGAACAAGAAGAAATTTTTTTTGAGGGCTCCAATTCTGTTGGACATTGTGATGCATCATTCATGATTGTCTTGCAGCGTATCGAAAGTCTGAAAATAACTGTCTCATAATACCATTGCAGGCAAAATGCAGTATTGCGATATTGCATACTGTGAGTAGGGGCGTACCTATTTGACATTTGGATTGGATACTAGACTGGATATTGGTGACGACAGGCCAATCGATTCACTTCAGTATTCAGTATTCACCACACTGTGTATTAGCAGCAACTCAGGATTTTATTTCAACAGCATGCTGTGATTAAATTAGCTGAGATGACTGAACAGCTATATTGACGTCACTCTCAGACTTAACTATGACAAGAACATGTTGTCACCAACTCCATTAATATTATTTAAGTGTTTTTGTGTGAGGAGGAGTAAAAGGAGGTGCACTCAGACTGAGAGTAGGACAAAATAGGCCAGCTAGGCTCTAAATAACAGCAGTATGCAGCAGCCTGTGACATTCACACTTCACATGAGATGATATGAGACCAGTGCAGATAAATTTAGTAAATAACATAAATGCAATTTTAAAATCTTTATGTATTTTTGTGCTGTTTTTGCTTATCATCTTACTAATACATTTCTAGTCCTAGTTAGTGTTATTATTGGTGTATCTGTTTATTTGTTACCTTTTACTTTTTACAAAGTTAGGAAAGCATTATTTAAATCAAGCCTGATGTTGAATATAAAGAATGATTTTCAATCTCTTTTTCATGCTTATAAGTTTTTTTTACTGATGTTGGATATCTCAGTGGCTCCATGCTGTGGTATTTTATACATTTGCCTAACAAACATGGGTCATTTCTGTGAAAAGATCTTTTAAAAGGTTTAGATCTAAATGTGCTGAAATAGTTGATTTTGGTACTTAGCTTGAAACAAAACCACGTACAAGCTTGTGGCATAGATAAATGAACCTCTTAGTACCACTGTTTACCCGACAAAAAATTATGCTAACCTTTAACCAAAAGCCCCATTTCCCCAGGCCATCTGCAACCAGTTTCCCTTCCTAAACATCCAAACTCAGTCTCAGTCTTAAGGCTAAAAAAACAAATACAAAAGCATTTAAGATACTCATCCTGTTCTTCTATTACGCTACCTTTTTTCCCACTGTTAGGAGGTTATTGTTGCACACTGAACATTTTTCCATTGTCAGGTATAGCAGTGCTAGAACAGAGTGTCCATATTTCTGTAATCCAAGCTCAGTGGGCTTCACATCAACAGCAGCACTGTTATGCTAGCCCAATAGATAGTTTTCACCTCTCCATCTTGAGTTTCCTTCTCCTTTCATCACTCTCCTTTCTCCTGACCTTTGCAGAGGACCCTGCATTTACTTCTCTCAGATATCAAGATGCTGAACCACCAGACAGCACCATCCTTTTGAAGGAAAACAAAGGAAGTGCTATTGTTTTTTTAAGATAGTTTCACATGAGTGTTCAGTGAAATTATCTACCAGGGCTTAATTCCTATGAGTAAAACTATAAATCTGCTGTGATCTTTGTTTACTCCCCGTGGTTACATATCCACTCAAAATTTCCCTTGCAAATCTGCAACCAGCAGTCCAAATCTGGTGGCTAATCCTGAGGCTGAAATCACTGCCTGACAGTTTAATAAGTGGCTGTGTTGTACGTGTGTGTGTTTTTGTGCTCTGAAGTACATGCACATGGGGTTTTAGCAGTAAAAAAGACAGGAAAGCAGGGAGTGAGGTGGTCATTCACCATGGTTACTGGCCCTCCTTTCGAAACTGTAATTTTCCATCCTTTAGCTCTGCTGAGAGGAGCCTTTCTCTGCCCTGCACTGACAGCAGACCGCTCATTATGAGCAGAATTCATACAAATTGCATCCGCTACTTTGTTAGCCCTTCATTGGGGTCTACGAGCTTTTGGCTTTGCCTCTGTAGTGTTCTCCTTTATCACAGCAGATGTGGGCAGAGATGAGCACGCTTTCATGTATAAAGGACTAATATTGCTACCAGAGACCTTGAAAATACTTCAAAGAAAGTGACGCTAGAGCGACTTTTATTCTCTGACTGGAAATAAGGAGCTAATTTAGATGTGCATGTCATTTGTGAGATTTTAAAAGGTCCTTTTTTTTAAATGTTCACCATCTTCTATCGAGCTAAAATAAAAAATGTTGGACTTCTAAATCAAAACTGCATCACTCTGGGGATGTGCTTTTTAAAGAAAATTGGGATTGCTAAAAAAATGTCATTCGTCATTCATCTATGTGTGCAAATTAATTAAATTAAACCAAGACCGCTAAAGTGAGCAGCTCAGAGAAGAAGCAGAAAAAGATAACTCAATCTATTGAAGCGCAAACCTTTTCACCATCATTTTCTGTCACAGAGGAAATGAACAGCAAAAGCAAGCAGCAGTGGTAGGAGAAATTGGCTTATGAAGATTCTTTGTCAGGACCAAAATTGCATAAAGAGTCTGCACATGAAGAAAACAATAATTAGCATTGTTGTCTGGGGAAAGATAAATGATTAGTGGAAAAGAGAGATAAATCTCTCGAAGCTTCTCATTAGTAAGCCTATACAGCTTTCCCTTTCAGCGTGGCACAAAACACAAAAACTGGATCGCACAAGGACTTGACTCGAAGGTTCAGGGGAAACTTAATCAGGGCTCATCCTGGGCATGTCGCCAGTCTATCACAGAGCGACAGAAAA